TAGTTATTAATGATAAGAGTCTAATATTCGACAAAATTGTTAAAAACCTTCAATATAAATAAGATTTCATGTGACATTTGGGACAAACAATAACATAACCCAACTAAATTTGATGTCAAACAAGGAGAGAGACTCTCTTTCCTTGTTTTAATGTGGCCCTCTAAAGATCGCACTTCCTGTCTAACAATATGTTTGCCCCACTACCTTTACATTCCCTCTATTGTCTTTTTGCTCGATGGTTCTGGATGACGGTGCATAAATGAATAAAACCAGTCTTTTCCACACATTTTCGTTACCATTTTAAATGAGTGTTTAATTTTGTTTTGCTCTTGATATTCAAAAACCATTTGACTGATGGCACGGGACGCAAGGCCAAAAAACGCCTTCGACAGTTCTGAAATTCTAGATACAAATTCGGATTCCTCTTTCTTGGTAAAAACAGCTTTCCGCCCTAATGTAATTCTTTAAGCTTCGAAAAGACCTCTTAATCGGTATTGCAATGTCCCATAAGGGATATTGAATAACGTGGATGCTGCTCTTATCAAAAGGATTTTGTCAGCTATATGGCTGAGGAAACCTAATCGCCATTCGGGGGGTCGGAAGAATCGATTCGATTCGCATCTACGATTCGCAGATGATATTTTTCTGATTTCAGATGAACTAAAGGCTGCCAGTGATATGTTGAATGAACTCAGCGATGCAGCACGTAAAGTAGGTCTAAATATTAACTACCAAAAGGCAAAAATGATGACTAATTTAGTTCCGAGCCATCCTTTAAGGGTAGAAGACGTTGAAATTGAAATTCTTGACAGTTACAAATACCTTGGACATACGGTAAAAATTAGCAGAGATAATCAAACTGCTGAGCTGCTAAGAAGAATAACACTGGGATGGGCAGCATATGGAAGACTGCGTGATATTTATAAAGGTGATATACCTATCAGCTTAAAAAGAAGATCCTTTAATCAGTGTGTCCTGCCTGTCCTTACATATGGCGCAGAGAGACACTTCCTAACAAGGACATCTACACGAAAACTACAAGTGACGCAACGTAGAATAGAAAGATCATTGTCAGGCATAACGTTGCGAGATAGGGTAAGAAACGAAAAAATTCGTAGAAAAAGTGGTGTAGAAGACATTATAAAACACATAGCCAAAATTAACTGGAGGTGGGCAGGACACGTCGCTAGAATGAAGGATAATAGGTGGACCAAAAAAATCTTAAAGTAGAGACCGAGAGCGTATAGACGAAAGCCGGGATGACTACCCACAAGATGGACTGAAGACATAAAGAGGATTTGTACCAACTGGATTGAAGCAACGCAAGATAAATCTGAATGGAGGTTTTTCGAGGAGGTCTATGTTTAGCAGTAGACGACTATGCTGATGATGATGATTATATGACTGAGTGTTCTTTCCATCGCCTCTTTGCCCCATGAGGAACGTGCTATTTTGCTGAAATAAATTACATTAACTGAGACCTATCACAATTAGGGTAATATCGATCACGTTGGGGTAAAATTGATCACTATGGTCAATTTTATCGGAAAGTGTGCTCATAGTTGACATGAACTTTTTTAGAAAACATAACCTGAAATTATATGATTTTGTAATATCTGTATTCTAGAAATGTTTTCATGTATTGTGACTACTAAAACGCTAACATCGGCTAATAAAGGAGCCGTTACCTTAAAATACGATTGTAGAATGTTATAAAAATCTTCCACAAAACACAAATTTACTAGGTGCCTAAGGCGTATTAAAAACGACTAAGTAGTCAGTGCACCACCTGTTGTTGATGCGTTCAACATGTGCGCATTCGTTTTGCTCTACGACGTCAATGGCAGCTATGTACTCCGTTGCTCCCGCTTGGCGGCGCTAGTCTAGTTGGAGGTCAACACATTTTGTCAATTCTTTGGGTTTGTATGGTATTTTTGTTATAATTATTGCGATTTAATAAATTATGAGAGAAAAATACGGATCTTGATCTATTTGCGACTTGATAAAAGAATTGAGAAGAAATGATAGAATTACTGGAAAAAAAGGAAGACCTAATCGAAAAGTAAACTATATAAATCATCGTCTTAATGTTTCATTGGTTCATCTTAGATCATAATAGAAATTTTTGTATTGGTCCAAGTATTATAGTGATGTATTTGTATTTGGATTTGAACTAGTACTGTCATATAACTAAAATATTGTAATTTTAGCTACCTGCCATACATTGAATAAAGTTTTGTGCTGCCTTAAAACAAAACGCATTAGAAATCATCACTTTTGATATATGTATAAAAGATATTGTGTCGCTGCCAGAAGTTCATTGCTTTGCCAGTCTAGAAACTAATTAAATATTCTATATTATATTATAGGTTGGGCTGAATATGATCGAAATAATAATTTTCGACATAACATTGTGTGGTCACTAATGCGGATTTCACTACTCTTTAGAAAATCCTCTAATAGAGTTCGTCGACATAAATAACTATTTTCTATGTATTTATAAGTTAGCAGAAGGAATGAGCATGTGTGTTGCAGTCCACAGAAAAAACTACAGTATGATGCAAAATAATTTTTTGTTAGCTATTTGTCAATCAAAAACAGATGAATATCATTTTTACTGATCGCAAGTAAACAGTGAAATGGCCAAAGCACTTACTTACAATGTAAAACTGATCCTTTCCATGAATAAAAGTATTGTTCTGAAGCTATTTTCTTGTGGCATTGTAAATTAATTACTATTTATAACTGGGAATAAGCCACAATTAAAGATAAAAATACGTTTATTGACGTGTTCGATTTCCAATTCGGAAATCGTTCTCAAAATACAAACAGTAAATTAAACAAATTTTGTTTTTTGTTACATAGTGAAAAAATTCTTCTAATAATTTAATTTTATCTGACTCATTTATATTGACAATTCAGACATACATTATGCATTTTAAAGTAGACGACTTTAAAATGATATTGCCAATATTGTTGAGTTGCGCTCCTGGGACGACTTCACTTTTTTTTTCAGAATTTTTTCACTATGTAACAAAAAACAAAATTTGTTTAATTTACTGTTTGTATTTTGAGAACGATTTCCGAATTGGAAATTGAAACGTCACTAAACGTATTTTTATCTTTAATTGTGGCTTATTCCCAGTTATAAATAGTAATTAATAAAAGTATTACTGAAGCATTATTTTAATGTATTGTTGGCAAGCGATACAAAGCAGTATAAAAACATGTTGCTGTTGCGATGCTTTACTAAACCTGAAAGATCTTGGTAAATAGTACATAAAAGATACCTGCACTAAATGAAAGCAAGTTTGGATATGCCAAAAAATAGCAGACTGGAAGTATCGCCAAAGAAAGCCGAATAAATAAATTTTATAGTTCCTGTGTGCAATGTGCAAAAAAAGCAAAAGACAAATTTCTGTTTAATTCAAGACCACAATAATAAAGAAATATATCTAATTTTAATGGTAGTGTAGTCAGTGCAACATTTTGGAGTAAAAAATGTGAGAAAATAGCTATCCGTGCCTATGAGGAGGCAACTATTAACCATTTCATTAGCTCTGGACTTTTTATTTCATTGAACCATCTTTATTTAGCTGCTTTTCCTGATGGACTTGTGGAATAACTATGTTAGAAGTTAACTATCCCTATTCAATAAAAGATTTAATGACTAGTTCTGATAGTTTGCCATATTTCGAAATGAAAGATGAATTACGTTTGAAATTAAATTTAAATTATTATAAACAAGTGCAAACTCAGATGCTAGTCACTGGTCGTGAGTTCTGTGATTTTTTCACTTGGACAAAAAAAGATATGAGATGTGTTTCTATAGGTAAAAAAATGATTTAATTTTTTAATGAAATAATCCCTCAAGCCAAAGAGTTTGTTGACTACTATATAGTTATAGCATTGGCTGAAAAGTACTATTTCTTACCAAAGTAGATAATCTTAATCTGTATAACAAAATAAAAGACAAATAAATAGTATTTATGTTAATTTTATTAATTTTTATCAATTATGTTGCTCCGAAAATTTGCTAACATAAAGTGTACAAATATTATCCTTTATATTATAATATTTAGTTTATTGTAGATACGAGAAAATGCATTTCTGTAGCACATATTTATCTTTTCTTATTGCCACAATTCACTTTTTTTTCATCAGATTATCTTTGAAAAACCTGTGTTATGATATTCTCGATGAGCACAAAGGAACAGCACAACACTGAGGCATTTTATTATCCCAAATTAAATCCACACAGCGAAATAAATGCAATTTTTACTTAAAAATATACAGATTTGGACAGATGACGTAACCTCCAACTACACTAACGCCATCTACGTTGAGCTTTCCAGATTAGCTGCCATTAGATGAAATTTTAGAGTGATCGATATTACCCTGCGGTCGATATTCCTCCACTTTCCCCTATTCGATGTGAATATGTTCGATTTCTAAAATTATTTCCGTTCGGTCGTTTGTCATTTTTTCTATGATTTCTTCTGTTATTTTCTTAACCGTCTTTCATAAACAAAATGAGTTTTATTTGTAATATTTTAAGCTGTATGCATTTTTCTTTGGGTTCTTGTTCTTTTTCTTCTCGGATTTTTGTTTTGATTTGGTTGGTGATGTAATATTATTATGTCTGTTTATTACATACTAATTAGTCATACTAATGAGGCTAATCAAACTTCCTTCTTGTCTAGATTTCATGTTACTATTTGTTCTTTGTAGTTTTCATGATCATTTTTTGTTAAGATCCTAAGCCGTTTTTTACATTAAATAAAGTATTACTAACCATATCCATGACTTGAGTGCGTATCTCTGAATCATTGATTTTTCTTCTATCATAACTATATGCTACCCATTTTCACTTTGTCTTTGAACTTGAGATGTGCAGTTGTTTTTGATGCGCCGGGATATGAAGACGCTCTTGACTCTCTATTCTTCTCTCGTGCCTATTAAAGGTAAAGTGAAATTAAGCACTGCATTTTTTTTCTTTTCAATATTTCCCATTTATACTCTAAATTAGGTTACTAACAAATTGTGATCGGAAATTAAAGACAAAATAACAGTATAAAATACATTTTTTAAAAACATTACAATTACATACTCTAAAATATATTATACATTTGATTAAACTTTACAATTTTATCTTTTTTGGCATTCGTCATAGTCTAAAGGTTCGTATCTACTGTATTTACTTATATCACAGATATTCTTACAGGTAAAATTGTAAATACTGCCTTACAGTTTATTTTATTTATTCTATTTTGTTCTTCTTTCCAAATATTTTCATAAGGCTCTTGGACATATAGTAAGGTTTCTCCGGAGATCCATCGTTTCTTTCACAATCTTCCACTGAAAACAATATTTGTATTAATTAAGAATAATATTATATAATATTTCACAATTTTTAATATCGATTACCATAATTTATTATTATTATTATTATTATATATATATATATTATATTATATATATTATATATATATATATATATATATATGTATATATATATATATATATATATATATATATATATATATATATATATCGCTTTGATGAATTAAAACGTCAAATACATGGTGAATGGAGCACAATTTGACCTGAATGACTATGACATAAGAACAAAAAGCGAAGAGACAATCTTCAAAAAAATACAATCCCGACAAGAAAGCAGAACTGAAATAGAAGAAAAATGGAGTCAACTAAAAGAAGTGATAAGACAATACAGAAGAGATTCTGGGAAACAAAAACAAAAAATAAAATAACAAAGAATGGTATAGTCAGGAGTGTAAAGACGTCAGAATTAAAAAAACTCAACCAGAATAAAATGGCTGGATTCAAGGACTGCGACTGACAGAAAATAATACGAAATAGCAAGAAATCGTGCAAACTGCATCTAGAGAAGAAAAAGAACGAGTGGTTAAACTTAGAATTAAAAAAAAAAGAATTATATAAAAAGGTAAAATCATACAATCACAAGCAGACATCTGGATTAAGAGATTTCGAGGGAAGAATTGGACATGAAACCACAAAGAAAAAAAATTGGAAAGAATATTTCTGGGCAACCTTGAACAAATAAAGTGGAGAAAATGAAGCAATTGAAGAGAGTGATACGAAGAAAGAAAAGGGAGAGGAATAGGTAATAATAGAATGCCCTAACGAAGTTGAAATATCAAATAAAATAAATAGGGCAAAAAATGATTAAGCAGTAGGAGAGGACAAAATAGTGACAGAACTGACAAAGTATGGCGGTAAGCAACTACATGCACAAATTTAAGGGATGGTAAAGCTAATATGTGAAAGGAATAAAATCGTCTGTAGAATCGACAACTGGAATAAATACACCAATCCACAAAAAAGGAGCTAAAGAGAAATGCTCTAATTATAAACCAATAACGTTTCTGAACACAACTTACAAAATCGTAGCTAACTTAATAAACCAGAAACTACGAGCACAATCAGAGAAAATATTAGGTGATTACCAAAATGGATTTCGCCCACGACCATCAACAATAAACGCCATCCATATATTAGAACAAATAATAAAGAAATCCAGAGAAGATAATAAAGGACCCATGATTTTTATTGACCTCAAGAGTGCTGTCTAGTATAGACGGACCAAAAATAAGAACAATCTTAAAAGCAATAGGGATACCAACCAAATTAATAGAACTACAAGAAAGTGTTTAATAAATTCCAAAGCAAGAATTAAATTTCAGGAAGTCGTAGGAAGAGTTCGATATCATTAACTGGGTGAAACAGGGCGATCCAATGTCTCCCACAATTTTTAATCTTGTTTTAGAATATGTGATGAGGGAAGCATATGCAGATGACCTAACACTAGTAGCAGAAAAAAGAGAAAACCTAATAAGAGCCATAAAGACACTGGATAGGAAAGCACGAAAAATGGGACGAGTACCTAATTAATGAAGACAAATACATGAACTTAGACAAGGAGGGAAAAAGGAACCCCCTAATAAGCAGCATTAACCAACTGAAAGAAGTAACCAACTTTAACTGCCTAGAAGTGGCAATAGGACATTGGGGAGTGGACAGAATGAAGAGATTGTACAGGATATTGATCCGACTGGTAATTAATTACGCAATGGAAAGGACGACTTTAACAAAAAAGAACAAAAACGATTTGAGAATACTGGAAAGAAAAATAACGAGATCAATTTTTGGGCCAAAAATAACTAATGAAGCAGAAATAAGTGTGAGATCGAATGAATAAGAAAATAAAACAAGAAATGGGAGGGGAAACCATAGTAAAACATAAAAGTAAAGCGATTAGAAATGGGTGGTAGACATATTGAGGAGAACACAGATAGAAATGATGAAAAGAATTATAGGTAATGGATTTTGGGAACAGCTATGACCTTGAAAATGCCAGAAAGAATATAACTAAAATCTCTTTTCTTACTCATACTCTTTAAAGTCTTTTACAATATTTTAGAATCGAAGAGATGTAATTATATTATTAATGTATTGGATTTTGACAAGAGCTATGCATTATGCCTATTTAGTACACAAGTTTATGTGAAATATTCAAGGTCATAGCTGTTCCCAAAATCCATTACCTCTACCAGATAGATTCCATTGGGGCGAAGAAATAGAGGAAGTCCCAGAAATAGATGGTAAGACCAGATAGAAGAGGATATAAACACAATGAACGAAACAGAGTGGAAGACAAAATGCAGACATAGAAAAAAGTGGAAACAAATAACCAACGTTGAAAGGTGGGATGTCAGAACCCGACCATTTATTAAAGTGGAAGCAGCAGATACAATGGGGGAAAAATCGAAAAAAAAGTTTCTGTTAAATACTTGACGTAAGTGAAACATTGTTAACTTTAAATTAGATATTTATATCAATGTTCTATTGTAGCATACCTCTGAAGATGGCTTTGTAAGCCAAAAGCGCTCAGCTGGGAATTAAATGTTTACACACTTCAAAAATTCATTGCTTTTTGCATTCTGTGATTTGTCATAAGTTTGTACAAAAATATATCAGTTTTTCATTTTTTCTCTAGATGTTTTTGATTTTTTTTTATACTTTCTAGATAGGTTTTTGTAGTTTCTCAAATTCCTCCAGCGTATGTAGTAACTCAGTACCACTACTGTCTATAATTTTATTTTAAAAGAAATAAAAGTATACTTACAAAAGCACAAAAATAGCGTGTCAACGGCCATGGAGTAAACATTAAAGAACAGCGATGATATGAAGAAAGTGCAAATCATAATTACAGCAACCGGCACCATTCCGTAATGGAGATCAGAATTGTCGATAACTTTTGTAGGAAGCAACCCTGAGGCGAAGAACACATATGATGCTGCTCCAACTCCTAGCGTCAGCAAAACTTTACTGAGGAAGAAAAGGAAGTCCGTAATCTGAAAATAAATTTATATAACATATAAGTTAAACAAGCTTAAATATAATAAAGGAGACGTTTACTTGATGAAGATCCATTATTTATATAAAATAAATAAACTCAAACATCCTAACTGTACTTAATTCATTGTTATTATTCATTAACATTCAGTTCGATCATTTTATCGATTAGCAATGCTAATAATCATTAACATGCACCTGATATTTACAAGAAACAAACAATTTTCGAATGCCATAAACCTCGAAAAAGTTCAAATCCTCTGAATTGCCACAGCGCTATCTTGGCAATACAACCTCCATCTCATATCATGTCTTATCCTTTAACTAAATTATCAACTACATACTTCTTAAAAATTTACAGTGTTAACACTAACAAGTTTTAACCAGAATTTATTATGTAAACCACATATTATATATAATGTCGTGTCTTTATTTTTAAATAAATTATCAACTGCATACACTTTTTCTAGAGAACAAGAGAATAACAAAATAACAAGAAGACATTCTTCTTGTTATTTTCTTCTTTTTGTTGTTTTCTTCTTCTTATTCCTTTATATAACCAATTATGTTTGATAACTAGCGGGTTGGTGCCTCAATGGAAAGTTGTCAGTCCATCTTTAGCGAAGTTAATTTTGGGCACGAACTAGACCAGGGATAGCCAACCCACGGCACGCGGCACCCGCGGAAAGTCCTATCAGTGGCACGCTACGCTACGCGTGCCACTGATAGGACTTTCAAACTGATCAAACTTTCAAAAAAATGAAAACTTGAAAAACAAAAAATAATAAGAAGAAGCTTGGTAGGTTTACGGAAGTTACGATAGATGCGGCATCATTGCATCCTCTGGCGAGCGATATTGCTACGATTAGTGCACGTGATTATAGCTGTCGTAATGTGCAATAGGACTGCGTTACCCTTGCTTACTGCCCCGTTGTATGTGCACATTTTGTCACCGCGCATTGTTTCTTTAAAATTTTAAAAGTATTTGTTCGATATGTCCACGAGTAAGCCTTCGACTTCAAAACGAAAATACGAAGATGATATTGCAATTCGCGATTTTCAACCTGCTTGGGAAGAACAATTTTTATTTACTAATCGTAATACTTCAAAACCTGTTTGTTTGATATGTGGATTGTCTGTAACAGTTCCGAAAAAATTTAACCTGGAACGACATTATAAACAACTGCATAAGGACTTCAGCAACAAATATCCTATTGGTTCACATTTGCGAGCCGACTTTATTGAAAAAAAAAAAGAAAACCCTAGCCAGCCAACAGTCACTGTGTCAGAAGAGAAGTGATGAAATGGAAACTATGGTTAAAACATCATATGAACTTTCTCTGCTGTTAGCCCGGAAGAAAAAAGTGTACTCTGATGGAGAGGAGATAATTAAAAATAGTCTGGCAATATTTGCTAAAAATGTGGGAGATGTAAAGATCAAAAATATGGTCGATAATATTGCATTATCCCGAAATACAGTCATGCGTCGTATAGATGATATGGGCCAGGATGTTGTTTCCTAAATTATAAGTGGATTACAATCCTGCAAATTCTTTTCTTTAGCGTTGGATGAAAGTTGTGACAACACAGAAAATGCGCAGTTAAGCATTTTTGTCCGTTATACCAATGATAATTTTGAAAATGCCGAAGAGCTTCTGGATTTGCGCCAACTAGTCACAACAACAGGAGAGGACATTTTTCAACAGCTTAAAAACGTATTCGAAGTCAACAAAGTTGAATGGTCAAAATTAGATAGTGTTTGTACAGATGGAGCTCCTTGCATGGTTGGTAGACTAAAAGGGTTTGTTACATTACTGGAAAACTATTTGGGAAGAAAAGTTTTTAAGTACCATTGTATTATTCACCAAGAAGCTCTTTGTGCCAAGGACCTAAACAGGTCATCTGTTGTTGACCCTGTAACACGCTGCATTAACAAAATACGAGCTCGGGCATTGAATCGACGACAATTTCGAGAACTGTTCGCGGAAGAAACGGAGCAAGATGGAGAGTTACTTCTCCATTGCAGTGTGCGCTGGCTCTCCAAAGGAAATGCACTCGAAAGGTTTTGGAACTTGAAGGAGTGCGTCTTAAAATATTTGCAAGAATGCAATGAACTACCCAGTGAGTGCTCGTTACTTAATGATAAAGATTGGCTTTGGAATTTAGCTTTTCTCACTGATATGAGACATTTAAATCTATTAAATTTAAGATTACAGGGAATTTTTCCTACTCTAGTTGGTCATATATGTTCTTTTGTGAAGAAACTTATGCTTTTTTGTAACGATTTTGGAGAACAGAGATTGACACATGTCACATTAATGCAGGAATTAGCTAACAAGGTCAGCAGAACTCCAAATTATGACAGATTTAAAAACATTTGCTAGGTTCATTCAATACCCCGTTTGAAGATTGAAGACAAAATGAATGTTGACGTTTTCATAAATCCTTTTTCTATTTCTCTGCAAGATATCAATTGTTACTCAGCTGAAATACAGATCGAAATTATTGATTTACAGAGCCACACTATACTAAAAACCAAATATAGGGAAATTATTTCAACTGTTACTAATCACAATTATATTGAATTTTGGAAATTTGTACCAGCAAACAATTTTTCTAATTTACACGAGTTAGCTCTGAGATATTGTTGTAGATTTGGTTCAACGTACGTTTGTGAGCAAATGTTCTCTATTATGAACATAATAAAATCAAAATATCGGTCACGATTAACTGACATGCATTTAAAAAATCTAATTGGCTAGTTCCGAAATTAATCCCAATATAGATGAATTAATTAAAAAAAATACAAGTTCAAATACCACATTAAATACGTAACTGTTTAATAATTTAAATTTTAGATAATAAGAAAATATTTAAGTTTTTTTGTTTAACGTTTTTATTTTATTTTTATTAACAATAAAGTAAATTTGTTGTTATGTTTTACTTATTACGGTATTTTTTAAACCTCCACTATCTTGACTAAACGGAAAAATGTGGAATTTACATAAGAAATACATATTGTACCGTATATTATTAATATATAGTATCCATATTAGTATGTCGAAAAATTTTAGTGGCACGCCAAATTTTTTTTGTTCTCATATTGGCACTCGACTTAAAAAGGTTGGCCACCCCTGAACTAGACATATCCAGTAAGATTATAGAGGCACCTAATCCAATCGGCACAATTTCATCAACATACAAGTGGAATAAATTAAGAACCCGAGGTAATCACTTAAGTCGTTATTCTAAACACATCCTTGTTTATAGTTTGTATTATCCACGATATCTTCAAAAATCGATGAAAGTACCACGGCTCAAATGCTTCCAACGTATTCATCCTTTTAAGTGCAGGTCTCACAATCGTATATCAAGATGGACCAAATATATTATTTTATTATTTTTCGAAAGAGATACTTTTGTTACGACATATGGTTTTCCAAGACAAGCAGGTCTTGCGGCATATCTCAATTCTAAAAATAATTTCTTCATTCGTTTCACAATGGCTTTTCTATACTTCGCTTTTGCAAATTTACAGGTTTCACCAGTAAGTAATAGCCTTCCACCCAATCAGACTATTCACCACAATGTAAAAAGCACGTTCGATTCCTAATGTATAAAGGGACCTACGTCAAACATTTAAAATCTCCATCTGTCAATATGGACCAGGTTTCGTCCAAAAAATAAATGGTTACACGTCAGTTTCTTAAAGTTGAAAAATTCTTTTGGGGCAAAAAAGACATATAATAAGTTATATTTTATGAAAACAAAAAGAGAAATCAAAAGATTTCTTCCTGGCAAAATCGAATTCAAATCTTGACTACTGTGTTTTCTAAAACTAGCAAAGCAAACAGCTTGATAAATTACTCGGTACGGAAATCTATGATTGCATTTCACATGCCGTTTATCATGGTCAAAATTCGTAGTAAATTCAATTTCTGGTACTTACTCCAAATGGAGTAAAGAAATAAAATATAAAGACGGTACTAGCATTTTGTTTCAATAAAGAGCGGCGGCAAGCCGCTTATACATATTTCGACCTCTTTAGATATCTTCAGAGCGGTATAGGCACCTCTCAGGCGATGCCCTACTACAGACACTGCATAAGCTTTTACTTCTTGTTTGGCATAATGAGACCATGCCTTGTAAATGGTCTCAAGGCGTGATATGCCCGTTACATAAAAAAGGTGACCAGTGTGACAACTATAGAGGTATAACCCTGTTAACAACTGCTTACAAAATACTAGCAAATATTCTCTACGAAAGGCTGCAAGTTTACACAGTGGGCATAGTTGGTAAATATCAAGCTGGATTCACTCCATAAAAATCAACAATTGACCAGATTCATTCAATAAGACAGATTCTCGAGAAAACATTAGAATTCAATATTGAAACCCATCACCTATTCGCCGCGTACGACAGTGTCAAGAGAACAGTGCTATCCAAATCAATGCATGAGTTTGGTATACCAGAGAAACTTATCCGACTAACGAGAATGACAATGTCTAACTTAGAAGCTACTGTTACAATACAGGGAGAGAATTCTAGATTCTAGATCCTTTGAGATGAAGGATGGTCTCAGAAAAGGGGATGCTCTGGCTTGCCTCCTATTTAATATTGCTTTAGAAAAGGCAGTCCGAGATACACGAATTAGGGATGGCGGTACTATTTACAATAGATCGATACAAGTCTTAGCATATGCTGATGACGTTGACATAATAGGGTGTAGCAAGCGAGATGTTGAGCAATATATCTCCTAGAATTGGAAACAGTGGCGAAACAGGTCGGTCTAGTCATCAACGAAAACAAAACCAAGTACATGTTGGTTACAAAGGATCCGATAGCAAATGAGGAACGAGAAACAGTCTTTGGAAGTCATACCTTTGGACGTGTTGACAACTTCACATACCTTGGATCGCTATTGACTGCTACCCATAAAACAAGCGAAGAAATCAAAAGACGAATAAATCTTACAAATAGGGGATACTATGGACTCCAAAAGTATTTCCACTCAAGAAACATTCAAAGAAGAACTAAAATTATTATATACAAAACATTGCTGAGGCCGGTCCTCACATATGGAGCAGAAACATGGACTCTAACACAGAAAGATAAAAGACTTTTAGGAATATTTTTTTAAAATACTCCGCAAAATATTTGGAGCTATACACGACCAAGGTCAGTGGCGCAGAAGATATAATTTTGAATTGTATCAGCTCTTTGATGAGCCAGATGTCATAACATTCATTAAAACACAGGGACTTAGATGGTCTGGGCACACAATACGAATGCCAGAAAATACGATTGCTAAAAAGCTACCACAGGAACACATGTAGGAAGAAGAAGCGAAGGCCGATCGCGAATTAGGTGTTTAGATGGAATTGAAACCGACTTACGGATATTAAAAGATTTTGTTTCGATCCAGAGAGGTGACTATACCGGTCTGAAGAGATCTAAAAAGGTCGAAATACGTATAAGCGGCTTGCCGACGCTCTGCATTAAAACAAAAATCTAGTACCGTCTTTATATTATATTTTATGACTTATAGCAAATATTCGGTATGATTTGAAATAAATCGCCATCTTTTTCTGGTTTTTTCCCTTTTGGTCCTTGCTTTACAATTTTTTAGACTTTGAAAAGTTAAACATTATTATACACAATGTTTCTGGAAGTTCCTTAGCTAAATCTAAACATTAAAAATATGCATTTCTAAATATTTGTTGGAGTCTAAAAGTTGCCGTACTAATAAACAATTTCAAAAAGTACTTCGAACTATTTTGGTCAGAGTCGACTGAGAGATGTAATTCATCTAGTTAACTGCATCGTGTCAAATTATTACTTAAAAATACAGCACGAAATCATTTGCACTTTTAAATCGAGACATTTAGTACCTTTAGCAACAAATGTTATGTCGATATTTTGCAAAAAGTGTTCTTAAACTTATCAATAACTTTGCTTAATGTTTTTTTGTCGTTTTCTGATGAGAATATACTTCAAAGTTGTGAGTTAAAATCTCTTAAAATTTGCAACACATCATCCATTCTCTTTGCGACATATATTTCTTACCTTATCAAGAACCCAGACCCTCAAGATGTTCCTCATGAGCAGCATAAACGCATCTTTGGCACTGACACAAAAGTTCTTACCGTGAATGGAACACATTATGTAAGCGTTCTTGTTAAGGAAGCGTAGGAATTTTTCGAGGCAGTAGAAGAAGCACTTGAATATGCACATGATGGCTTTGGTGAGGTCATTATCGTACTTTTTAACTTTATGATCGACGTATTCTAGGAAAAGTCTAATTAGCTTACAAATGGCTATTATCAAAGAACCGAACGCTAGAGTTCCGATGTGGTACCTAAAACAGAATAAGCAGCGATAAGAGAGAAGATATTAAAAAAAATAGTTTCATATACAAATTGTATAAATAAATTACTCATCTTCTGGGTTTAAACTGTCTCGTTTGGACAACCCTATGTGGGTTTTGTTATAATTATATATTGCTTCTTAAGTAAAACGGTGTGTTAATCGTCACCCTAATTCAGAAACTTAACGTACCTAAAAGCCTATTTAGAACCAACCCACTTTCCTGGAAATGCTCTACCAACCAATTTAAATATAGCAATGGTTCAAAATTTAGGACTAAAAACATTTACTAATTTTATTGAGAATAAACCCCAATTTTACTTACAACTAAGTTTATTTTGACGTTTTGATTTCCACTTCGGAAATCGAAATGTCAAAACTTAATTGAAAGTAAAATTGTGGCTTATTTCCATTAAAATAATAACTTGTATTAAGAGGTCACAAGAAAATAGCTTCTTCTTCGTGCGACTAGGATTACTCCTGTTTGTCTGCCTCTTATTCTGTTTCAGTCATTGTTGACTGTACATTATCTTTCCACCTTTTTGGAGACCTTCCAACGGGTCTTCTGCTATACGGTTTGTTGTTTTTACAGATGTTCGCTAATCTATCTGGTCCCATTCCCATTTAGTAAGAACATAGCTTCAGAACAATAATACAAACAAATCGAATCTTAAACGAAGGATCAGAAGAACACCCCTAGTAACACACGCACGACGTCCTATGGACGTCCAATATACGTCCAGTTTTGGTCCGGACGTCCCTGGACGTAAAATGGACGTACTATGGACGTACGAAGTGGGACGTACTTTGGGTGGACTAAATATGGACGTTCTCTGGACGTTCTCTGGACGTCCGTACTCGGACGTTCCCTGGACGTCCGTACTCGGACGTTCCCTGGACTTCCGAACTCGGACGTTTTCTGGACATCCGTCATTTACCAATTATGGGATCAAATAGCAAATATTTCAATAAAATAAAAAAATATTTACGTTAATAAAATAATTAAAAGCAAAAAGGTTAAATCATGATTAATTAAAAATTGTATAGTTTAATATATCCAAAACATGTTTTTTTTTAAGGTAAAGTGTATAAATATTTTATTTCTAGATAATTCGTTACAATTGTTTTTATTATTCTAGTTATCACGATGATATATGTTTGTTAATTCTAATAAGTAAAAATATGATTTTTATCAACAAGATGAATCTTGAAATCATTTTTCAAAGATGAACAAGTGGTAGTATATATTCTGGCTGAAAAAAAATGATGATCATGTTAATTATTGTCATTGTCTATGAAACAAATGGCGCAGTTTAATTATATTATTAATGCTTTAATAAACGAAATAAAAGAATTCTATTTAAGCAGTATACAGTGCATTGGTTTTTTGATGCTTGGCTTTGTGGTTATAGTAGTATATTGTTAAAGGTTTGGTACCACGTGTTAGGTTATACTTCAGAAATTGGTTTTATTTTATTACATAAAGGTAAGAGTATTTTTTACTTATTATGTTTAAAAGAAATGATTTGTTTCTACTAAGCGTCATCAACAGAGGAAGGTTTAGAAAAACGTAGAGAATATTGTTTTCAATTCAAATAGTTCAGGTTACAATACTTCCGATTTAAACTTTTTATTAACATGTTAAGTACCTAAAATAATCCAAATTACCACGTGGACGACCATTCCGGTGATCCTTTACAAAGCTCTTCTTTCAATGAAACTGAAGAAGGGTCTAAACATGTTTGTAACGAGAATTCTGGAGAATCTTATCGAGATGTTTTTAATTTTTCTAATAAGTTATTCAACTGGACTTTGTCCTTTAATACTAGGTGAGTTATTCTTCTTATGGTGCCCTATCCAATTAGTGGTTGTTGGCGACAATTCTGGTATACTACTCTCGATCTTTTGTGGCTCTAAAAAGTGCATGGGCATCGAGATTTGTCCAATCCCTTATGTAGGTGATTTATTAAAAATTCATAAAGAAGTTCCTGACCTTTCTCATTTGAGTTCAAATGCTAGAATCCTTGCTTCGCTTCACCCAGAGAACAAATACTCTGATCCATATGATTCAAATTTCAATGGTATTTTTATCTTCACAAAAAAACAATGTTATAGAAATTTTTGTACATTTTGATGGAATCCCACTAAAAAAAGAGTTTTAGTACTCAGTCATATCCTATCTTGCGTAATTTGTTTATATATCCTAAAATTGTAGATTTACTAGACATTTACCATGGTTATGAGAAACCAAAATTTGCAAATGAATGTTTGATTGATTTTGTAACAGAGGCTGTTTTTTTTATTAGATAGTTTAAGCTAAAATAATTAAGCATGCATGATCAAGTTTGTGGGGTAGTTAGATTACTGTTACATGTTGATTTATATTTTAGGATAATGAGCTTTCCAAAATTGGTGAGGAGACCATAAATGAATTTGTTAGGAGAAGCCATAAGAAGCTGATCTGGAATAAAATTCAAGGAAAAGATAGTTGGCTAGGGAAAAATCAATATAAAGCTTTCGAGGACACACATATAGCTCTGATTTTAAAAGGTTTGTAACTTGTAAACATAAATCAATTTAAGGTACATTTAAGAATTTACACTATCACTTAAGTGGCCACATACAGCCGATGAAGCATATTGTTAACTGTGTCTTATATGTAATGTAGATAGCAAATTTTACCAACTCATAAATGTTCAGGTTTGGCTATGAGATTGCTTTAAGAACTACAGCTAGCTTATGAGATATAAAGGTTTGTTGTTGGCCATATATTTTATTTATACAGTTATTTTTATTTTTTACGTATAAAAGTGTAATTACTGCTCATTTGGTCATTAGAAATAAATACCAATGGTTGGGTTGGTATTCTTCTAATTCAGGTGAGATTCATTAAAACTACATTACTTGAAATTCATGTGTTTAATTTTACTTTGAATTATGATTTATTCACAAAAAGCAAAGTATAATTAACTAAATTTGAAATTAGTTTGTTCAATTTATGAATGTACATTAATTTTGTTTTCAGATGTTGCTTGGAAAAACTCCAAAACCAGTGTTGCCATGGGGAAGGAAGTTGAAACTTGATAATGAAATATCTGAGGAAATATTTAAAGAGAGTGTTAGAATCATCGAGCGATAAGACAAAAGAGGGAATCTAATCGTTATAAAAAGGAGACCAAAAAAGTGGCCTCTGATGGCGGACACATCCGGAAATGCAAAGGCGCCAAATTTAAATATTTCGACACTTATCAACAGTAGCTATATAATATTTTTCAAAATGTGTCTTAGACGAGAAAGTTTTAATTAATTATTAATGATAAGAGTCTAAAATGCGACACAATTGTTAAAAAACTTCAATATAAATAAGATTTCATGTGACATTTGGGACAAACAATAACATAACCCAACTAAATTTGATGTCAAACAAGGAGAGAGACTCTCTATCCTTGTCTAAAGTGGCCTCTCAAGATGGCACTTCCTGTCTATCAATATGTTTACCCCTTCTACCTTTACATTCCCTCTTTTGTCTTATTGCTCGATGGTTAGAATACACGGAATTTAGGAGCAAACCTTTGAAATGTTCTGTTGGCATGAATGACAGAAGGTTGTCATGTCATTTGAATTGTCATTAGATAAGTCAAGTCATGGTCATGTCTCTTTTTTTTTTCTTATATAATTGTAAATTGTAACATGTCTTTGAGATTACGCCTAATATAAAATAAAGTATTTTAACACATTTCCAAATATTATTTGAAGAACCTAACATTGGTTATGGGCCCAGAAAGAGTAATGTGTTAAAAAGTTTATTTTCAGTGTGAAGCTTGTGAGGTTAAGTTTCTGAAAATTAAGTTCTGCCGGTAGGCGTGGTGTATGAAAAATCAAAAAATAAAGTTAATAAGTATGGAAAATCGACATGGAATTATTCCATTTAATGGTAATGGGTTTGATAATTGGAAATTTCGTCTGTACTCTGTTTTGAAAGCAATGGATTTAGGTGCAGTCTTACAAGATGTACCGACTAGTGCCCAAGATGATGATTGGAATAAGAAAAATAATAAAGCCTGTATGGTGATAATACAAAGTGTGGCAGACTCCCACTTAGAATATGTAAAAGAAATAGAAATTGCCCTTGAAATGATAAGAAAATTAGAAGCCATTTTTAGCAAAAAAGGTATGTGCTCTAAATTTTATTTACTGAAGGAACTAATAAATTTAAAATATATCTATGGTACTGACTTACAAGAACATTTTACAAAGTGTGATCGTATTTTTCGAGAGCTTAAAAGCCTGGGGAGCTATTTTGAAGAGTCAGATATCGCATGTTTTTTGTTACTATCCATGCCACATGATTTTGAGGGGATAGTCACAGCTATACAAACCTTATCCGAAGCAGACCTGAAGGTTGAATTTGTAAAGAGTAGGCTATTGGAATTCAGCTCAAATAAAAATAAACATGTAACTAAGGTTATACCTTCATCATTTAGTGTGACTCAAAAAGGCGTTAAATGCTTTAAATGTGGCAAGATGGGCCATTTAAAGAATGTTTGTGGTATAAAATGTCATACATGTAACAAAATGGGTCACAAATCGAAAAACTGCTATCTGAATAAAAACAGACAAAATCAGGTTGACAATAGGGCAAATTTAGCTGAAGACTTATGTAATAATCAAAGCAGTGATATTCAGACATCATCGCAATCTGTTGCATTCTGTGTTTCGAGTGAGTATTTGTCAACATCCAACAAAATAGAATGGTATGCCGATTCAGGAGCTACTCATCATTATATTAATGATAGCTCAAACCTAATAAACAAAAGACAGTTTGTGGAGCCCAGGTCAATACAGTTAGCAGAAGAAGGAAAGTTTATGGAGTCAACCTGTGTTGGTGACTTAAAAGTAATAAGTGAAGTGAATAACAAAGAAGTTGTTATTACTATTAAAAATGTGTTATGCGTACCTGGTTTAAGAGTAAATTTGTTGTCAATATCAACA